TCCACACCTGTTCCCATTTGTCCAAATCAGTGTCTCTGGGAGGGACCACAAAGGGAAAAACCATCCAAAACACAAAAGAAGCATGTCAACAATAAAAACACAAATCATGCAACTTAAACTAAATCCAAACTTTTCCACTTTCTGACATATGGACCACACAAATGAGCTCTTTTTGTAAAACAAGGGCTACAAATTTTCAAGACTTGGTTAGATATAAAACAGTGCAAATTATGTATAAAGCAAGGAATAAATAACTACCAATATACAGAAATTGTTCACAGAGAGAGAAGGGGACTATCACTTTATAGGAAGATTACATTTAAAGAATTTAAAGACAACGCTAAAGAGAATGGGTACAGCAATAGTAGGAGTTAAATTATGGAAAAGCTTAGAAGAGGAAATTAAACTCCAAATATAAACTAGTTTTAAAAAGTTATCAAAGCCATATATTAAATAATTATAAAGAAGAAAACAGATGACCAATGTGGATTTGGTTTTACTGTGAGGAAGGTGTATTATGAGTGTAACGTTACTCAAATGCAATCCACAGTAAATCCTGTGGCATTATGGTCATTTGTCGCCCCCTCATGGCCAGTTTTAAATTAGGTTTTATTTTGGTCGAAAGTAAGAAAAGCAAGCATGGCCACTCCAGTGGGAAAAAAGACAGCTTCCTGGACGTTTTAAGCCTTTGTCCATAAGTTACCCATTGTTATGGTGTTGTAATATCATCTGAGCAGTTGTGTGATGACTGATGGCTGACAAGGGGGTGCCTGCATGACTTCTTTCATGTCTCAGGAAATCCTCTAATTTTCCTTCAAGAATGAAATGAAATCTGTCTAAAAAGACGAAAAACAAGATCAAATGTATCTGACCAGAAATTATTTGGTTTTGAAAATAATATTGATCCAGAGGTAAATTTTTACAATCAAAACAAATCAAAATCAGAATATTATTATGAAGAAGAGTTAAACAAACTTAAAAAAAGGACTCTCTATCATACATTTTAACAGCAGAAGTCTCCATACACATTTTTGTCAAATTAAAGATTTGTTAAGGTCACTAAAATACAAGTTTCAAATTATTGTAATTAGTGAGACTTGGCTAACAAAAGAAACAGATTCATGCCTTGAATTGGAGGGTTATAATATGTTTAACGTAAATATGAATAATAAGAAAGGTGGGGGTGTTGCCTTCTATGTACAGAAGCATACTGAGTGTAAAGTAATTGATAGTACAGTTATTGATGACATTATGGAGAGTATAATAATAGAAATCAGTTTCACCAAAAGGAAACAAATTGTTTTAAGTTGCATGTATAGAACACCAGGTTCTTGTGTTGAAACATTTATACAAAATTCTGCTGATATATTGCAAAGGATCTGTGCTAAGAAACATGTATTTGTTTGTGGTGTTTTAATATTGACTTGATCAAATGGGAGGAACATAAGTTAACCTTAGATTTTTTTGAATATGATGTTTAATTTTGGTCTCTGGCCTATGATTGACAGGCCAAGCAGGATAACTAAAGATAGTGTCACGTTAATTGATAATAAATTTACAAATGTTTGTAGTCAATCTTTGAGTGGTTTGCTAATAAATGATATTAGCGACCACCTTCCTGTTTTTACAATTTCAAATATGGACATTTTTAGACCCCTACATAAGGAGGATGATGATTCTACTATATGGGTGAGATGGAAGACAGCTGAAAGAATTGAGGCTTTCAAAGCAGAACTTTTGAATTACAAATGGGATCAGGTGTATGTAGACGATACAAACCAAGCATATGATACCTTTCTGTTCATATTCTTAGAGGTATATAACAAAAAATGGCCCTATTATACAATATAAGACAAAGAAAAATTATAAAAGAAAGCTGTGGATGACAGGTGTGTGTAAAAAGAAAATGGTATATGAAAAATTCAACAAACATAGGACAAGTGAAAATGAAGACAATTACAAAAAATATAAGAATAAATTATCTACAGCTATTAGGATTAGAAAGAAGCAATATTATGATGAAATTTTAGATAAAAACAGAAACGATACTCGAAGGACGTGGAAAATATTAAATAATATAATTCAAAAAGGGATGACAACACTGGAATGGCCAAACTACTTTCTAAATTGTTCAAATCATTAAGTAAATGATCTAATAAATATAGTGGAAGAATTTAACAAATGTTTTGTAAGCGTCGGCCCCTCATTAGCAAATGAGATAGCAGTCCCACCTGATGCAGATACATTTAACAATCTGATAAATAGTAATATCAACTCAATGTTTCTACATGAGATAAGTGAGACTGGTGTTGTAAATACAGTAAGAAAATTTAAAAACAAAAAATCCACAGATATAAATGAAATTGATATGGGAATTATAAAAGAAGTTATAATCTCTATTGTGAGACCACTGACACACACACACACACACACACACACACACATATATATATATATGTATATATATATATATATATATATATATATATATATATATATATATATATATATATATATATATATATATATATATATATATATATAACCTATCACTACATAAAGGTCATGAAGAAAACAAAAGTGATCCCAATATTTAAAACTGGAAATAAGCATTCTATGGAAAACTATAGGCCAATAGCAATTATTCCACAATTTTCAAAAATACTCGAGAAATTATTTGTGAACCAGCTAGATGTATATATTACTAAAAATAAATTATTAAGTGACAGTCAATATGGATTAAAAAAATCAGAACCACTACTTATGCGACAATGCAGATGGTAGAAGAAATAGCCCAAGCAAGTGAAAGCGAAGAACTCTCTATTAGCATATTTGTTGATTTAAAGAAGGCTTTTGACACCATTGACCACAGGAGATTATTGAAAAAGATGGAAAATTATGGCCTACGAGGTATAGCGAAGTCCTGGATAGAGAGTTACTTAAAAGACAGACAACAGTATGTAAAAATTAAAGATATAAAATCTGGATTTAGAGAAATAAGTTGTGGAGTTCCACAAGGGTCAGTAATAGGTCCTATATTATTTACTTTATATATAAATGACATATGTAACGTGACAGATTTTTTCAAATTTATAATGTTTGCAGATGACACAAATTTAGTTTGTTCAGGTAAAGATGTAAAAGAACTTTTAAAGAAGGCCAAAAAAGAGTTAAATATCCTCAAATCTTGGTTTGATGTAAATAAACTATCACTGAATATAAAAAAGACTAAATTTATGATCTTTGGAAATAAGAAGGTAAAAATGGGAACTTTAAATTAACAATTTCAGATACTGAAATTGAAAGAGTGTCTGAAATAAAATTTCTTGGTGTTGTGATTGACTCTAACTTATCCTGGAAGCATCATTTAAATTATATAAAAAGAAAAATTGCCAAATCTTTGGGTCTATTATATAAACTGAAGGACATACTAAACCATAAGGCCTTACGTCTAATATACTGTTCACTAATACAACCATACATGGCATATTGTATAGAAATATGGGGTTCAACTTTTAAAACTCATAACATGAAATAAAAACTATACAAAAGAAATCTATCCGAGTTATAAACAAGAGCAATTATTATGCTCATACTGTCCCATTGTTTTCAAAATCACAGATTATGAAATTAGAAGATCTATACTATTACAAAATAATGCAATTTGTGTTTAGAGTAAAATTAACGGCTCTGCCAGAAAATATACTAATGTTTTTTGCAAAGAGGGAAAGTAAATATGATTTAAGAGGTGTATGTATGTTTGTTCTACAAAAAGCTAAAAAGGGCATGAAAAGGAGATGTATCTCTGTAATGGGAGTAAAATTTTGGAATGAGGCTAAAATAGAATTAAAATTAGCAACTTCTATTTCAGTTCTTAAAAAACTTATCAGTAAAAATATTTTTGAAGAGTATTAATTTGATGTTGATGGATGGATTTGTGTTTTGTTTTATTTGGGTTGTTGGTTCATTGCGGGAAATTGAAATATTGTTTTGTAAGTAGGTTAGGCAATTATATAAGCTATTGCTTCTGCCTAAACCTATTCAGTCATGAGATACTAAATAGACACCACATACAAATGAATGCATATGTTAGTGAAAAATGGTATTTGTATCTATTTGCATGAAATGTTATTGTACACATTATCTTAAGATGACTGAATAAATTGACCATTCATTCATTCATTCATTCATTCAAGCTATATGAGCAAATTTTAATTGTTGTTAAATTAGTTGTAACTAAACTTAATGTGTTATGTCAGCCATTTTCTAGGTTTCTAAGCTAAGTTTGTATGAACAAAAGGCCAATAAGTTTAAGTACAATCTAACCCTTCTACATTTAGATTTATTTTGAAAGTTTCCATGTAAAATGTACCAAACTTTGATGTATATTTTCTGTATTTGTGTTTCAGTTTTACAGAAAAGAAAAAAAATCAATAATTAAAGGATAAAAGAGTAAACCCTATAAAAGATGACAGCACTCAACAGCCTGAATATTTTGTGCTTGTTCGCTATACGTCTAGCATAGTCAGCCACACGTCTGTGAAAGGACAGAATAATGATTATCATTTGTCACTGTAGAGGATAGAAATGTGAGTTTGTTTGTTGGTTTGGGTAATTTGTTGTTTTTTATTATTTTGTGTGATATTACAACACAATTAACCGATATCGTGTAACAAGGGGCAGGATATATAGGTTTATACTTCAGCCTACTCTCTTTCAAACAAAGGAATGTTGTTGAATAAATTATGATGACAGTAAATTCTGATGGATTTATCGGTTTGAAGTAAAAACTGAAATGAAAATGCAGAATCCACATAGCACTGTGTTTCAATGTTGATTCAGAAACATTTTGCACACAAATTTAATACAGAAACAATGTTAATTTATTAACTACAGAATAACGCCATTACAAATGTATTTCAGTTAACCTGAGTATTCAAACAACACTGAAATTTCAACAAGTACATCAATGCATTTTCACTTAAATTTCAACTGAGAGAAATAAACACCAGGAAGCTCAAGATAACACATGGAAGTCACATTTATTTTAGTCAAACTAGCAAACATTCTTACAAAATCAGTTTATTCTCATTTAAACAAGCAGGTGTTTTTCTGTGCATTAACGCTATATACAAATTTAACAGTGCAAATGCTAATTATTTACTGACAGTTTAACCAAAAGGTCTTTCTAGTGGAAATGGGCTGACGTATCCTGAGTATAACCATGTATAACACCCACAAACCTTACAGTTGCTTTGCAACATATTGCAGTGTGCCAAATAAATAAGTCAAACAGACTCTTTTTTTTGGTAAACACAAACAAAAACTTTTATAAATTGTGCTATTGCTCATGGAAGTTTCCTATTTTTCAAATTTTAAAGGAGTACAACACTCGTTTATTCAATACTTTTGCAGTGATCTCTACAAGGAGCCAACAACAGCCTCCCCGCTGCGAGTCAAGATGGGTGAGTCCATGAATAATAAGTGACAGTGTGATGTAGATCTGTCAGGCTTTTCTAATCACAGAGGTTCATCATCTATTTTCTACAAGACGCTAATGCAAGAAATAGGTGTAGGAGACTATTTTCATGTTCAGCCTGCGTGTTAAACTGTCAAGTTTTCCCCTGTCCAGCTTCTGTCCAAACTTGAAAAGGACTGGTTCCACCACAAAAAGTGAGCTAGGAAACAACTCATTCTTTTCTCGGTTTATTTGAGGTAAATCAGGTACTTGGGTAATCAGGTACCAAGGAAATCAGGTTGAAAACCTTCAAACAGAAACAGATTTATATGATTACAAACCAAAAGAATAAATTATCTTGTCTAATCTAAGCAGGTAATGTCATGTAACTTTATTTAACAGTAGAATGTTGTCAGATCCATACCAGTAGCCTCTTTGTGGTTTCCCCCAAGCTGAACAGTCTTTTCTTTTCTTTTTGCTGCATCTGCTTCCCTTCTGAGGTGCAGACTGAATTTGTTTGTATCCTGCAGACAGGTGCTCTCACTCAGCTGATGAGCTGATCAGACAGGAACTGGTCAGACAGGAATGGTGGTGGTGTTACTCGGCCTCCAGGGGGTGCAATTACTGACTGGCTGACTGATCTGACTTTGAGCCCGACACCTCCCACTTGAGCTCCTGGTTCTTGAACCCAAGGAGGTCACAACTGTTATGTCCAAATAATATAGCGCAGAGGCTGATCTTACTATGGTGACTTCAGAATCTCCTTCACCATTGATCCACTCTCTCCATCTCTTGCATCCCCAGTGACATTTTGCTCTTCTACAGGAAGCAAGATGACGATCCGCCTGACATCTCTGTGAGGAACTGTAGCGGGGATCTGGGTGGGATGTTCCCTCTTTGTGTTATTGTCTCGTCTTCCAGGTCTCACAGACGTAACTGGGTAACTTGGGAATGTTTTGACATTGACATCCCTTACAACTCCCTTCCTGTCGGCATTGACACTGATCACCCTGGCAAGCCTGTATTGGTTTCTCAAGGCATTCTGGTCTGCCACCCAAACGATGTCGCCAACTGCAACATTGCGTTCCTTTGTGTGCCACTTACTTCTGACGAATAGGTTGGGTCCAGCCAGTTGGCTCCATTTTTTCCAGAACCTGTTGACTTCTGCCTGAACCACCCTTAGCCTCTTGTAAGGGTAGTTGTCAAAGTTAAAGTTTCCTGTATCTCCCTTAGGTCCAGCCCTTCCAAGGAGCAGAGAGTTTGGGCTGAGGTATTCAATACAGTCCTCCCGACTCTGAGTCCTGGCATCTATTGGCCTTTCATTAGCCAGGTTCGCTGCCATGTAAAGGAATGTTTGAAACTCTCCCCATGTGAAGATTCCATCTCCCGCTAGGTTATGCAGGGCTCTTTTTATGACCTGAACAGCTGCTTCAGCAGCTCCATTCCTGTGAGGTGAGTCTGCTGGGTGGATTGTCCAGCTCCAGTCTGTCCCATGTTTGGTGGCCTCATTCTCTAGATCTGCCTTCTCTAACTGGTCCAGATACAGGTAAAGTTTCAATAGGGCAGACTTGGCTCCCACAAAGTTCTTTCCAGGATCTGACCACAGTTTTCTAGGGTGTCCTCTCAAAGCTGTAAACCTTTGGTAGGCTAGCAGAAACTCTTCAGTTGACTGTGCCCCAACAACATCTGTGTGCATGGCCCTTGATGCCATACAGCAGAAGACAATACCCCATACTTTCAGCCTCACTCTCTTTCTGACTGCATCCTTTACTTCATACGGTCCAAATAGATCCATTGTTGTGAATTCAAATGGTCTGGCCGGCTGTGTTCGCCCCATTGGAAGATCCCCCATGATTTGTTGGCATCTTCTAGCTTTTCTGCATAACACACAGTTGTCCACAACTTTCTTAGCCAACTTCCGGCCTCTCACAACCCAGGCCCTTTTCCTCATTCGTAGGAGAGTTCCTGCAATCTCCTCATGATTCATCCTGTGAGCTTCCTGAGCTAGAAGTGTTGATATACAGGCTTCATAAGGTAAGATTGGTACTGCGGTTCCCTCTTCATTGAAGATCTGGATTCTTCCTCCACACACTAGCAGCCCTGACTCCCTTTCTTTGAATACAGCCAGTCGGTTGAGGGTAGAGTCATGAAAGGTGACTCCATCGTGGGCTGCAAGGCAAAGGTCTCTAAAAGAATCTTTAAACTCATTTGCAGACAGTACAGCTTGCTTGGCTTTGGTCTTGATGTCCTCCTTTGGTAAAACGACCTCCCACTTTAGCTTATCGACTGCTGGGCGCTTCCATCTTGAAATGGCTCTCCACACCCAGGCAAGGACTCTGACTAGTTTGGTCAAACTACTGAACTTTCTCTCATCAACAAGTAGTCTGACTGCAAACCCAGCCGGAGGTCTGTGGATTGGAATGTCCTCCAGACTATTAGAAGTTTCTGGACGAGTCGCTGGTTTATTACATGCGGTGATTTGCTGTGCATTATTCTGACCTGTCTTTGCTTGCGCTCTGGTCAGTACTGCTGAGAAAGCTTTTCTTCGTAGTTTATTTATGCTCTCCTTGGCATTGGCTGCAACTTCTTTAGCCGACTTTTTTGGCCATTCTTCCACAGACTGTTTCAAGAAATGAGGTCCATTTTGCCATTCTGAAACCTCATTGAGATCCTCTGGAGTAGCTCCTCTTGTCAAAATATCAGCAATGTTCACATCACCAGGAATCCACCACCAGTCTTCTAGAGACCCAGCCTTCTGAATTTCACCAACCCTGTTGGCATAGAAGGTTTGGTATCCATAACTGTCCCGATGAATAGCTCCTAACACAGTTTGACTGTCCAGTAGGTGGAACCATCGCTCAATTTCCATTCGGCTTTGTTTTTCAATATATTTTCTGAGCCGGGTTGCAAAAACGGCCCCACAAATCTCTGCCTTGACTGGTTCCCCCTTTTGGTCCAGTGGCGTGAGTTTTGCTTTTGATTCGACCAATCTGACCTGGACACCTTGCTTGGTCTCCCACCTGAGATACACTACAGCTCCAAAGCTCTTGTCACTCCCATCGGAGAAGGTTACTCCCCAAGGTTTTCCAATCCAGCCAGTTGGTGTGAGGCTCCTAGGGAATGTGATGTGGCCAACACGCACATACTCCTCAAATAGTTTGATGGCTTCTCTCCTGAGGTCCTCAGAGAGTGGCTTGTCCCAAGTGTCTCTGATCAGATCTCCACTTGCTGCCTCTTGGAATGCTTTCCTGACAAGTATGGCTCCTTTTTGCTTGATAGGGGAGACTAGCCCAATAGGGTCATAAAGGCCAGCCACTTGACTTAATAGGTCCCTTCTAGTTAGTGGGTCAGGAGTCCTTTCTTTCACTTCCTCTTCACGGAGGTCTTGGCCAGTCCTCATCTTCTTTTTCCTTCTTGAGAAGTTGATCGACGATAATATATACAGTTTGTCCTCCTGGACCATGTATCCAATACCAAGGGCTCTATTGTCACCTTCTTTCATCTGATTGGGAAGTATCACAGCTTTCCTTGTTGGGTTTGCTGATCCAGGTTCACCTGCTTCCTGGTTTATCTGCCTCTCACCTTGCTCTGACAGAATCCATGGCTTGAGAAAGAAACCCCCTGCTCTCAGAATGTCCTCAACATTTTTTATGATCTCCTCCAACCTTTTGGAATCATTGTGAGATGTCAGGATATCATCCACGTAACTGTCCTCTTCTAAAACTCTACACTCCTCTTGTAGGTGAGCAAACATTGGTAACCTTGCGGTCTCCCGCATAGCCAGCTGTGCTATGCATCCTGCTGGTCGATCTCCCATGTTTACTCTGGTGATCACATACTCTCCAATCTCCTCTTCCTGAGTATCTCTCCAGAGAAATCGGTGAAGGTGCATCTCTTGGTCTTCCAACCACACAGAGTTGTACATCTTTTTGATGTCCCCCAGAGCTGCTACACTTCCCTTTCTGAACCTGAGTAAGACTGCCCGGATTGGGTTAAGGACATCAGGCCCTTTTAGCAGGAGATCGTTCATACTTAGTCCCTGGAACCTTTGGCTGCTGTTCCATACGATGCGTATAGGTGTTGTTAAAGAGCGGGGGTTTGGTGCAATTAAGTGGCTCACATACCAAACTGGCCCTTTCCACCCATCCATTAACTCCTTGGTGAGCTTCTTGGCTGCTCCTCTTCCAACCATCTCATGTATCTGGGTTGCATAGGCAGCCCTCCACTTAGGATCTTTCTTAAGCTGTCTCTCCGTTCTCCGAAAGGTAGCTTCTACCCCACTCCGGTTATTGGGAAGCGAGGTTGGGTCTTCGATCCAGGGGTATTTTGAATCCCAGTGTGGTGCATCACTGTGGGCATCCGCTTTGACATGTGTGAGCCCTTGTTTTATGATTTCAAACTCCCTTTCTTCATTCAATGTCATTTCCTTTCCTCCTGGATGACAGCTGCCACAGCGACATCCACCACACTTTGGTTCACAGGCTGTCCCAATGCTGTCCCATTTCCACCACTCTAGAAACTCTCTGGCAGTAACTGTGGTCTCAGCATGCTTCTCTCTTGTCTCCTTGATCTCTTCATATTTCCTTGCAGCTGTTCTCATTGAGCGAGCAAAGTGCGTTTCGGACCGATGTGCTGTGATGTCCACCTCCTCAAAGAGATCTGGATGAGCTCCTCCCACAACTTTCCCCAGCGGGCTGTCCCACAAGACTAGATCCCCAACAACTTTCACTCTCTGTGGAGCAAGTCGACCTTCACGGTGGCTGATGAGTAGATCGACGCTCTCCGGTCTCTTCAAGTCCTCCAGCGCAGTTTCTGGGAAGAATCTCCTCAGCCGCTCAGGTTCAATAACTTTGTGGACTTCGGCTATTTCACGCAGACCATAGCAGATGAGTTCATGAGCTATTTCTGTCCCTCTGGGTGTTCTGATCCTTACCCTGAGTAGATATCGTCTGGTGTTAACCTTCATAGCCATTCCTCCAACTCCATGGACGACCAAAACGATTTTTTCACTCCTCAGTTTCAATCTTTTAGCAGCTCTGTGTGTTATATAATTAGTGTCCGATGCCAAGTCAATCAGAGTCCCTATCTTCTGACCTGCATTGGTGGTGACTTCTAGAAGCATCATAATGACTGGTAGCTCTTCCAGGCCATTTGCATCCATTAATCTCATCTTCTCTCTTCCTGTGTTGTTTGGTTTTGCAGTCAAGTTTGTAAATGCTCGTCTGCACTTCTCTACCATTTCTGGGGAGAGTTCAGCCATGAATTTTTCCTGTTCTTCGGTAAGCTTGGGATTTTTCTTGCCGTTTTTTCCACCTTTGTCTTCCCCGCTCCTTCTGTATTCTCCTCTGGGGCAGAGGAAAAAGTGGTGATCTGACAAGCTCCCCTTTCCGCAGTCTTTGTTTCTGCACAGGTAGTTGCCTAAACAATCATCCTCTTCTCTGTGGCATCCTAAGCACCGCTTACATGCTCCCAACTTCTTAATGGCATTCATTTTCTCAGGCAGCTTCAGTTCCTTGAACCTTTTGCAGAAGAATATTTTTTCCTTATGTCTTTCATCTCCACAGACGACACATCCTCCCTGTTTAATGGAGCGTGTGGAAGCAAACCTTTTTTCAATCTTACTCTCTTGCCTATCTGGCTTCTCAGTTACTCCAAGTTGTTCCAATTTCTCCAGAATTTCTTCTTGAGTTTTCAGGAACTTGAGAAGGTTATCAAAATGATTGTCTGGTGTGACATTGTTGCGAGGGTTCACCATAAACACAAGCCAATCTTTCTTTACAGCCTCTGGTAATTTGCATTCAATAGACTTGGTTACCAGAGGGTTCTTAATGGCACCCACATCTCCAAGCTCCATAAGGTCAGCCAGAGCTTTTTCCACCATTTGGATTAAGTCAATAACCTTTCTTGGCTGGTTTGCTTTTACTTTGGGTGTTTTCTGAAGTTCTTCAATTATTTCCAAGGCGATAGTAGATTTATTGCCAAATCTGTTTTCAAGGACCCTGAAAATTTCTTGAGCCGTATTGTAGGTTGATAGATGTAGGTCTCTGGAAATTTTTCCATCAATGCTGTCCAGAAGTTGTATTTTTTTCACTTCCACTGAGCCAGTGGGTTCTCCTTGCCTTTGTAGACTTTCCCAGTCTTTCTTCCATCGGTGAAACTCTCTTTTACATCCATAAAATCTGGGCAAATTTGTTGGCTGTATTCTCACAATGGGCATAGGGTGAGTGGCTGGTGTAGTAGCCATGTTGTTGGCCACTGGTGCAGCAGCTGCTGCCACATCTGCATCTCTTTTGTCCCTTGCAATTTTTCCTGCGATTGCAAACTCTACTCTTTTTGCTTCAAGCTTGTTCTTCATGAGCTTTAGATCTCTTATCCGGCCTTCCAGCTCAGGTCACTCTGCGGCTGGAATCCACATCTCCCACGATGCTAGGATCTCAGCAGCTTCCTGGACCAGCTGTCTCATGAATGCGATTTGTACTTCATATCCATCTTGGTTTATGGTGCTGACTGGCATTGCCATAGCCTCCTCACATGATTTTTCTGCTTCCCGGATTGCAGTTATCAGCTCAAGTCCATAGCTTAACCATAATTTGTCTTGAATTAGGGCTCTGACTTCATCCAACTTTGTCTGACAGTCATTCTCAGTTTTCACCAGGTCAGCCTCCTGCTGCTTGCCAAGCTCTTCTCCATCTTCAGCCTCGAGGTCTGCTAATAAGCCAGCTTTATAGTCATCATTTGACTCACAGAGTCGTCTTGCTGCACATGTGAGTTTCTTGAACTCCTCTTGTAGTTCACCCTTCATCATGTTTTTCACTTCTCTTGTGAGGGAATTAGCTGCTTTGGTGAAAGTACTTTTAGCCATGGTTCTTTCTCTCTTCAGCTGACTCACTGATTTCCCAAAAGCTTCTTCTGCCATCTTGTGTGAAACAACAACTTATAATCAAGAACGTAGTCCAGGCTTTATTTGTCTTTATTTTCCTCTGCTGTTGAAACAGCTTTTTCTCTTGACTCAGGCCTTTGATCCTTCACCGTGAATGCAATGGTTTTCAACTGTCAAGTTTTCCCCTGTCCAGCTTCTGTCCAAACTTGAAAAGGACTGGTTCCACCACAAAAAGTGAGCTAGGAAACAACTCATTCTTTTCTCGGTTTATTTGAGGTAAATCAGGTACTTGGGTAATCAGGTACCAAGGAAATCAGGTTGAAAACCTTCAAACAGAAACAGATTTATATGATTACAAACCAAAAGAATAAATTATCTTGTCTAATCTAAGCAGGTAATGTCATGTAACTTTATTTAACAGTAGAATGTTGTCAGATCCATACCAGTAGCCTCTTTGTGGTTTCCCCCAAGCTGAACAGTCTTTTCTTTTCTTTTTGCTGCATCTGCTTCCCTTCTGAGGTGCAGACTGAATTTGTTTGTATCCTGCAGACAGGTGCTCTCACTCAGCTGATGAGCTGATCAGACAGGAACTGGTCAGACAGGAATGGTGGTGGTGTTACTCGGCCTCCAGGGGGTGCAATTACTGACTGGCTGACTGATCTGACTTTGAGCCTGACATAAACTGAGTGATCAATTATAATAAAAAACTAACAACAACAACAAAAAGAGGTTTTTTAGTGTTCCACACCTTTAACTTACATTCACACAATGGTTTCCATAATGCCCAACTCTTCCCGACCGGTCTGGTGCATAATGAAGCCCTGTGCTGTCACGGTCTGAGTACTACCCTGTTGGTTTTCCCTGGGTTTTTACCTGTAGGTGGGTGTGGCTGAGACTCCCCAGCTATCTGGCATCATCATCACGGCGGTGTGACACTTCTCCATGCTGGGTGGTTTGTTGTGTAGTACTACTGATGACCACTAGTGGTCACTTCAGAAATCAGGAAATTTTGCAGTGACATTTAGCCTAGTGAACTAGACCGAATTCTTGCTTTGCAAAGTTTGTTAAATAATACATTTATTTAGTCTGGCTTGCCAGGCTAAGTGACATTGGGAAGCACTGAAATTGTGTATACAGGGAAGGAGACACACTATGAGAACTAAATTGTAATATAAAAATTACAACAATTAATACCAATAATGTTCATAAATGTCTATCCTTGTATTTTTGCAAGTTATGTTTTATTGTAATCACATGAAAGGGATTACCTACATTTATAGTTCACAATAATTACTTGTATGTCTTTAACGGGGTTTTCCACACACTAAGTTCAAAGCTAATATCCGGGGTTTACAGCCTGACAGCTAAATTTACTTAGCCTCTCTGGCAGGCCTCATGATTGAAGACGCTCCTGTTAGCTGAGCTTTGGACAGGGGTGGAGTGAGGTGTCCAGTCTGGTCCTGAACTGCCTTCAGCTGGCTCAGTTCCCAGACTCAGCAGCAGAGGATCAAATCACAGCGACAGTAAATGAGCAGGCGTGGTAACAAAGTTGACCAAGTCCAGACTCACAAAACGGGATTGTCACTTTCACAGAAATCTCATGATTATTTTTATAAAATCTATAAAAACTTTGAAAATCAGGCCGATGACCTGAAGTTTAAGATGCTCTGGTTTGATCAGAAAAGACCCCAAAAGGCAATTAGACCTGTGTTTGCAAAGTGATGTTTATTAAAGTGAAAACGATTAAACCTTATCGCTAAGGCAATAAAAGTTTAACTATGTCCTGTTTTACCAGTTTGTGAGAGCAGGAAGATTTAGCTGCTGCTGCAGAGAAAACAGAATTAAAGAACAAATCCACGTTTGACTTTTGAAGTTTTCCTTTTATTGATCCTTTAACCGTTCTGTCCACAACCAGAAAACAAAGCTACCAAGTCATTGTCTTTAAAACAGTTACCAGTAAAATAAATAAAACCGTTTTCAAACCTGTGAAACCAGGTGAAGTCCAGATGGCACCACTATTTTCAGTAGACTGTTAGACATAATGACTGTATGCCATTTATTTCAGTCCACCTCAGTGTGTTTGGTGGTTTTAAAGGCAGCAATAAATATTAAATACTCCACATTTCTTAGCTGTGAAATGGCAGATCACTTTGTGTCATTGTTGGCATGACCTTTCTGAAACGTAATCTGAGACGGGCTTTAAAACAAGAGCTCATGATGGGCTCTTCGGGTGGTATTGTCCAGATTCAGTCGGTGCAGATCCAAGGTTGTTTAAATTAAGTGGAGCGTTTCCTTCAGACTCCATCTGAACACTGGGTAGCAAACTGAAATTCAGCACTAGATATCAACATCTCCACTCGATTCATTTCATAGGTTTCATGTTAAGAGTCAAACGTTGTCGAGAAGAACAGAATAAATGAGGTCAGCACTTAAAAACTATGTGAATAGCATTTGTTAGGACAGATTCCAAAAATAAAGGAAGTGCATTAGTTTTATGTTTTGTCACTTGTGCCATTTTAATTAGGGCAAATGATCCTTGGCATGAAAAGCTGACCCCCCCCATGCCAAACAAACCTTCTGCACAGGTGACTAAACATAAAACCCTATTGAACATGAATGACGAGAAAATAACCACAAAAAGACCATTATTTGATGATTGCCTCTTTTTTTTTCACGATGTGGCTGACTTGAGGTAAGCAATCAGGTCCTGGCGCTCTCCCTTCTTTTTGATACCAGCGAAGATCATTTTGGTCCCAGGAATGTACTTCTTGGGGTTTTCCAGGTACTCCATCAGGGTGTCCTCGCCCCATATGATGCCTGGAAGGGAAGAGATAAAAAAATAAGTAACGACAGATTCATAAATCAGTTTACAATGAACACAAGAAAACTCAGTGGAGTTTGTTATTCTGGGTCACCCTGAACTGACCTTTACTCTTGTTGGCATCTGTGTAGGAGAAGCCCGCTGCTTGTCCCGTCTTACGCCCCATCAGACCCCAGAGGTTAGGGCCCACCTTGTGCTTGCCTCCCTGCTCGACGGTGTGACACTGAGCACACTTCTGGACGAAAACCTTCTTTCCTTTCTCAGCGTCACCCATAATCAGCTGGGGAGACCCAATGAGGGTAAACAGGACACAGATGTGGAAGAAAGACATAAATGTGAACTGAAGTTCTGTGATTTCATTTGACCTTCAGTGTTTAGAGGTCATTTGAGGTGACATTTCATTCTACTTTCACTATACACCCCAATGTAACAAGTTATGCTATGCCATCACATTGTTCAGGTTAATTTGGGGAAACCTGAGAAGAAGACACCACAAGAAGTCAAGCCTTTTGTTCCTGATAATACTCAAGATTGCCACCACAGGACAACACAGGAATTCAAAAAGGTTGGCCTGGTTTAGGGTAATTAAGGGTAGACTTAATGATATAAAGTTAGCTAAGGACAGCACGGGTGGTTAAGTCCTGTGGAAAGCAGCCAGCATTAAGGATCTTAGCTCGAGGGGGTTAAATGTTACTTCTGTGAGAGGAACAACTGGTGCGGAGTCCGATGAGAAATGGAAAACGGTCGACTTTTTAGATCAAATAACGACATTTAGTTATTACTACAACTTTATGGGGTGGTTTCAAAATGAGCTCCGTGTCGATCTTCAAGTGAACTCTGTCCATTTGTTCACTACGCTTCAGTGGACTTTTATCTTCACATAAACTATTCAGTACCTACATGCTAATGTTGAATACTAACGACAAGCGGATTGCTAGCTTGGCTGAAAGGACTGCGGCAGGTTGTAGCTTCTGGTTTGGGCACCACCAAACTGTAATTAGTCTCGTTCAGGAATAAAATCACCGTTCATAAATTAAACTTAACACGTTCTGTTTCTCAGATCACAGACGACCGGCTTTTTTTTAAGTTAGCCGGCCAGCTATCAAGATTAACCGGGTCTCCACCTTCATAAGGCCGTCAAGGATGCTTCAATGTCGCTGCCACGCGACGCTGCTCTTTAGCTGCTGCAATTTTCCACGTTCTCTTTAGAACACACTACTGGGCAGAATGGGTATATTAAACAACAATTCGAAAGACTTAACAGCCGCATTACATTGTTATAACAGGTTGGGTTTAAACGGTAAAATCTACGCAAAGAGAGTAATCAAGTTATTCACCATAAGCTAACGGTATGCCTTATTATCAAATAGTTCTCAGACAAATTTTCTACATGTAATCACTGACTCAATCACCTTCTCGTCATGTTTTTTATATAAAGTACAAAATAATTACCTTTGGGTTAAACTATACCGGCTCAAAACCTCGTGGGTGTAGGTACAAGTTGTTCCTCTCAGCCGACAAGCGGTTACTGGTGGCTGACGTAAGGAAGGTCACTTCACTTAAGCGGCACCGGCTTTATACGTCATCACGTAGTCACGTGTTGAAAGTTCCCTCCACGCGCATGTTGCGTTCTTACAAATGGTATTTTCAACAATTCTGACAAAAATTCCCCCTACAATTTGCCAATTTTAAAAATGATAAGATGTTATTAAATAAGATACACTTTAATATATAAATAAGTGGAAATAGGAATACCTTTTTCTCAATATTTAGGTAAATGAAAGATAACGTTTATGCTATCCTGACGTAAATAATTTTGTCCGGGGTACACCTGAAGGTAGCTCCAAACCACTGAGACGTCGGAAAGATACAAGATGGAAGAAAGCTCGTGGAAACAAATGCCCGAAAACCTTGAAGATCCTCCTAACAGTCGGTTGTTCTTGGTAGCCAGTAGGTGTACAACAGAAGATGAGCTTCGGGAAAGGTTTTCCAAATTTGGGGAAGTTCAGGGAGTCTGGTTGGTTAAAGACAAACAGACAAAGGAACCTAAAGGCGTCGCTTATGTGAAATTTGCGAAGTCTTCCCAGGCATGCTTGGCCATGGAGGAAATGCACGGAAAAATGCTGTCGGATGGGTCTAAACCTCTTAAGGTCAGGATAGCCGTCAAGCTACAGATATATAAGTAAACAGCAGCAGTATTTTCAGACAAGGTTGATAGGCACGAAACAGTTAGCGTAGTAGCTAAGCAGCTTCTGGTGCGTTCGTACGCAATTTGAAAATTGACAGTTATTCTTTGAATAGTTATAACGTGGTTTATCATCTGTTCTACGTGTGAATGTGTTGTTACTAAAGTAATGGATCATTACCAGCAGTGTTTGACCTTTTGCGTTTTGTTTTGTGTAGGTTTTCATTGCTCAGTCACGCTCGTCAAACAGACACAGAGATGTAGAGGATGAAGAGCTGACCAGGATCTTTGTCATGATTCCTAAAACATATACCGAAGAGGATCTCAAAGAAACTTTCAAAGTAACTTCACCCAAGTTTATATTTATCAGCTGACTTCTTTATGGAAAAGCTGGGATGCAACTGAACCGTTTTACCGCTTTGAGAAATGTGTCAGTCCGGGGTTTTAATCACAAGGTCGTGCATTAGGAATACAAATTCGGTTTCGTTTGCTCCAAATTACCTTTTTTATCCTGATTGTATTTCATCAATCAATCAATCAATCAAAGCTTTATTTATAAAGCGCCTTCCGCAACCCTGTCAGGAAGCCCAAGGCGCTGAACATGGTACAGTAGAAGTACAAATATAGTGAATAAATAAAAAATAAAAGCAATTCAGAAATAAAAGCAATTCAAATTACAAAATACAAATTTCAAAAAAAGGTGAAACATTGTAGTACAGGACAGATGGGTAAAACAAGGGATAAAGTCTTGAGTTTCATGCTGTAATCTGACCGTGACCCATAGACAGAGCTCAGTTGTGGGGTGGAATCTGTCTTTCACAATGGCTCTGCAACGAATCGAACTATGTTAGGACCAATCAAAGCAGTGATCAACGTGATATACTTATCACTTCGGATGTCAATGAGGCAGTCCGCCATGAAGAAGAAGCAAATGCATCCATTTTTCAAAACAAAGGACCTCTGTCTGCTCATGTGTCAAGGAAAAGCCCGAGTCTAAATCATCCAAAGTTAAGGCCAAGGCTGGTTCAAACGAGCATTGTTCCTGAACCAACAACATTTTTGTAGTTTTCCTTTGTTGCAGCTCTGGTTCCAAGCCCACCCACCTGAGAGCGCTGTAATTGGCCAGACCTAAAAAAAAATGGGACCAATGGTAAACCTGCTGAGGCTACAATGGAGTATCCAGACAGACCTGTGTTGCTTCTACTGCTATGATTTGTCTAGTTACCTAAATAAAAGTTAGAGCAATAAAACAGAGTAAACAAAAATGACAATTTTATTGCCCAGAAATAATTGAAGGAGTTTTGTTCTTCAGCTGCTTCTCTATAATTTTCATCATATCACAAATAGGCCTTTAAAGTAGTGATGCACCAGTATGAAATTTTTGGACCGATATATTAAGATCACTGTTATGGCTGATAACGATATTTGCCGATACCGATAAACTTACATTAATGCGTCTAAAATCAACAGATTTTGTATAGGATGAAAAAGATTAAAGCTGAATTTATGTTATGTACACACAACACACACATTTACACTTCAGAGGTGATTACAATAACTGTCCTGTGACTAAACAATTACACATCACCCCCCTCACCCTCTGAAAAAGGCAAACAAATGGAGACGAGATGGAAAAAATATTGGTTGTTAATATTGGCACGGTTTTATTTATCGAACCGATATGTTAAAAAATGACTAACATCGGCCGATATTGATGCCGATGTATTGTCCATCCCTACTTTAAAGTCAGTCTGTCTGTTTTTCAGGTGTATGGAGACATTGAATATTGCATCATCATCAAAAACAAGACCACTGGTGAAAGTAAAGGACTCGGCTATGTGAGATACTTCAAACCTTCTCAAGCCGCCATTGCAATAGAAAAGTGTGACAAATGTGAGTCTGTTCATAGTTATGTTCTCGGCTCACTAAGACTAGAACCGGGGGGATATCGACTCTAGATTTATTCTTAAAGGTCTAGATTTATTCTTAAAGGTCAACTTTACTGATAAAACATTTTTAAATGATCATTTCTGATTACAATGGGTCACTCTGAGTTTTTAATGCAGGCTGAACATGAAAATAGTCTCCTACAACTATCTCCTGCATTAGCCTCTGATAGAAAAAAGACGGTGAAACTCTGGGATTCGAAAAGCCTGGCAGATCTACATCACATTGTCACTTAACATTCATGGACTCACCCATTTTGACTCAAGACGGGGAAGGCTGTTGTTGGGTTAGCATCTAGGAAACAGCAGAGAACGTCTCTGCTAGTACAGCTAATTGTTAGCATTAGCAACTCCACCACACAGCAGAACTCCAGGCTTGTGTTGTTAGAGAAGATAAAACATCAACGTTGCAAAGCAAACTGAGTCGGTAGTAGAGGCACATTTCTGTTAGCCAATCAGAGGTGAAATGTCCAAATATCAGGAAGTAAGACTCCAAATTCTGTCATCTGAAGTAGTGATGCACCGATATGAAAATTTTGGGCCGATACCGATATCCGATATTAAGCTCACTGTTATGGCCGATAACCGATATTGACCCTTTGCACCGACGTCACTTAATCACGTGGGTCCACCATGGTGGACGGCAAAAGCATGTAAACAGTGAGCAACACGAGTACTAAACTAAGGGAAACGTAGAGCCTGAAATTGTTTTTGCAATCAAAATAAAAACAAAACTCCAGCATTCCTTCAACTAGTTCATGCCCAGTTCAGTTATCAGACGAAGTAGCGCATCTAGCTGGGGCTCATAGAGAGCGGTATGCTAACTAGCTTACCAACGTTAGCTTATGTTCTCTCTGCAGCTGTTCACCGATGTAAACATGTTGCTGACTTTGCCTAAATTCACAGCTTTTCATTTTACACCAAAGCTGATTTTTTAAAAGTCCGGATCCCTACCAGCTTCTGTTGCTGGTGGTGTTACCGGGTTCAGCTGCTGCTCTCACACCAGAATGAGAAGATCTCTGAACGGCGACGCTCATATAAATAATAACGTAATTTTAACACACGTAATTATACATTGGAGCTTTAATATTGTTAATAATTGTCTCGATTTACCCTACAGAGGACGGAGCGCAGCCTCCATGGTGAAATACCCATCCATCAGGATTATCAATAACTAGTATAAACACATCACATTTATCCCTGTCCCTGTCTTCCTCATGAAATAAATGAACGTTAATCTTACCCGGTAAAAACATGCTCGCTGCAAATCTGAGGGCTGCTAGTCCGCTTGATTGATCGCTGCAGTTCATCTCCGTCCTCAGTCTCCATCAAAGTTATTAAAAAGAAAAAACGAGTTGAGTTTACATCTGTCTAAAGTCTGTTAGTGCAGCCAACCACGCAGCAAGCTAAAACCATTTTACTGTCAAATCAACTAAATAAAAGTGATAAAAAGCCACAAACTGGCTTGTTTTGACTAGCTTCACTTGAATTTCAACGGGTGTAAACTGTCTTTTTGCCGTCCATCATGGCGAAGGCGGTGGTCTCATGAGTGGCGTGACGTCACGTGCAAAGGGTCAGTACTTACATTAATGCTAAAATCAGCAGATTTTGTATTGAATGAAAATTATTAAAGCTGAATTTACGTTATTATGTACACACACAACACTCATTTACGGTTCTGAGATGATTCTTTCACTGTTCACATGACTAAACAATTACACTTCACCCCTGAAACAGATAAACAAATGGAGACGAGATGGAAAAAATATTGTTCGTTAATATTGGCCCGGTTTTATTTATCGAACCGAAAAAGATATGTTAAGAAATGACTAACATCGGCCGATACCGATATTGATGCCGATATTGTCCATCCCTAGTCTGAAGCAGCTTTCTCCTCCAGCTGACTTCTATGTTCTGAAACAGGCGCACTAGAGCTTTTTTCCCCTCAGAGTACGACTCACAAGACATTCATTCCTACTAGAAACCACTGCAGATGTATTAAAATGAGTAAAGATGACCTTTAAAATTCTAATATCGGCTGGTTTCATGTACAACAGGTACACTTGTATTCGTTCAGCTTTAGAGTAATTGTAATATCAACTTTTTTCCACTTTTTGTGTTCCTGAGTCTTCTGCACAAATACATTATAGGGCTGCACAATATATCGCAAATATATCGTTATCACAATATCAGCATGCGCATAATGCATATCGCAAATATTGCAATGAATGATCAGCTCAAATGTTTGCTACACATAATGCATTCTGTTAATCAAACTGAAGCATGATGTTTTATTTACCAATCAAATGGAGCCCTTCACCCATTTGGCCAATTAGGTGGGTTCTCATAGGTTAGATGCCCCGCCCCCGAGGCAGGCGGCACTTAAATTTGATGGTTAGCAAACACCTGAGTTAGCTGTTTTATGCTCTTTCTGCTGATTCTGCTTTTCCCGGGATCCACTGATTGCCTTTTCTTGTTCATTTTCTATTTTACTTTCCTCAAATCTTTTGCTTTTCTCATTTTTATGATTTTGTTGTCATTTATAATTTCTTTGTTTTTGATTATTTTTCCTGATTTAAGTTTTTATTTATCACAAGTAATATCCTCATCGCAGTGTTAATCACTGTTATCGCATATCGCAGGTTTTCCTAATATCGTGCAGCCCTAGCACATTAATAACATATTTAATGAGGTTCTAGTTATGCCTTCTTGGTGTAGTCAACCTAGCCTCTTGCCACCAGCTTACAGGGCCATCCTGGCTGAGCCCCGCACCAAGTCCAACGTCTCTGAAGATTACTCCGGAGGAGCATGCAGAATGGATTATTCCAGCACTGCCAACCCCACTGGTCAGCGTCCCTTCCCTACATTGACGTCTTATTTTCAGAAATAATTCAGAACGAGTACATTTCTCTCCTTGTCATTTTCTTACAGTTGATCTTGGGAACTACACGGCCATGGACTTCCGCAGCAGTGAGATGACCAGCACCCTGATGATGTCCTCGCGGGCTGCTCTTTCCCAAGAGCAGGTGTTTTCTCTCTTCGACATTATTCCTGGCATGGAGTTCTGCGATCTGCAGAGAGACCAGTTTGGAATTCTCAAAGGTAAATGGTGAAACACAAAGTACTGGATTCAGTCAACAAAGATTCATAAACTCTGTTCAAGATGAACTGTATTGGAACTGTTTCGTATCACATCAGACATTTGTTTGCTGGTGGACTCCATACTGAGAGGATTTCTATTAAAACTGGTTGATTCTGTGCCCAGGTCATGCGTTGATTCACTACAATAATCTGGGATCAGCGGTTTATGCTAAGGAGAAGCTAAATGGCTTTGAGTATCCCCCCGGTAACAGACTGCAGGTTTATTTCCACAACGACGGAGAAAGGTGGGTATAACAGGTGCTCGCTCTCACTTAAATGTTTAAAACGTGACGAACATTTTGGTCAACAGCTGCAGAAAGGTCAGAAATCACCTTTCAAGGTTAATAGAAACATTCATTTAAAAAAAGAAAGACTTAAGTCTGACCTTCTCTGCATGTCCGTTTGGCCATAATTAATTTCTTATGAAATATTCACGAGTGAATGTGACCTCAGCAGCAGCAGTGGTCCTGTTTTACGCTGGTGCAGAAAGGCTGCCAGCTTCAGAGCAGATCCTTCAATCATATAGACTCTTGGTTTCACACACCAGAGCGATTTAGATCAGCTGCAGGGGTGGGGCTTTTTGGTCAGGCAGCAACAATCTGAAGACGTTTTTGTTTTTGTGTGCAGTCCCATCAGTCGGATGTCAAAACAGTGTGTTCAAGCTCAGATCATGTCCTGCGGGTGGAACGGAAGCTCCTGCAGCCAAGTGAGGAAACCTGTGAGTTTAAACCTGAAACACAGGGTCGCATCGGATAAACTCGTATTTTATCCCGCGAACCGTACTTATACGGTTTGAAGTTATGTTCTTGTGATTGACAAAAACCTGAAGTACAGCAATGGTCCTGAAAGTTCTGCGTGTCCAGATGATGAGGTTTTTGTCTCCATCAGAGCTACTCTTCATTCTCCACATCGTCTCGGATTCAGACAGAGGTCAACCTGCCATCGATAAAGAAGCTGGCTCCAGCTGACAGCAGGACCAAAGAGCGCTTGTTTGTGGTGTTTAACCCCTCTCCTCTGCCCCACGATGTGCTGGAGGACGTCTTCTGGTAAACATCTCAAACTCCAGACCACATTGTGAATGATCCAAGAGCACAAACCACCCTTAAATAATCCCACCGTGTCTCTGCAGTCGCTTCGGATCCCTCATCGAGGTCTATCTGGTTTCAGGGAGGAACGTCGGATATATAAAGTACGCCGACAAACAGGTACGTTTTCATTCTGGGATGCTGGCTGAGCTTGTTTGTGTTTTCCCATCATAACCACTCTGTTCTGCTTGTGCGTCAGTGTGCCAACGAGGCCATGGCAGCGCTGCACGGCGAGGTCGTTAACGGAGTCAGGATGAAGGTGATGCTGGCGGATCCGCCCAGAGAGGAATCCCACAAACGCCCTCGTACCTACTAGAGCGGAGCGGTAAGTGTCTGCTGCCAGGACAGGTGTCGAACTCCGACTCCCTGGTGTCCCACAGGTTTGGGCTCGTTTCCTGCTTCCGACACACCCGATCAGCTGTGTGGGAGCAGAGAAACCTCACACCCTGGAGGTGGACATGTTCTGTAGGAGAAACTGATGAACGTATTTGAATGATGTGGTAAACGTGATGTAGTTTGTACTCAGAAATATTTAAATTTACTTTTGAAAGCAACTTTGACAAAAAGCCTGCGTTTGGGTCTGTCAGTAACGCTGCAGCTTCTTGTCCCCCAGGCGACTGTTGTCCTGACACAATGACACCAGACCTGACAGACCAGACATCAAGACCTTCTCGACCTCTGACCCGACCTTTGACACCTGCTTGACTCATAAGCAGTCTGAACAGCAGCATGTATGATTCTCGTTTAGCAGATATTTAGCCTGCTAACACATTCGTCAGGCTTTAGTGTTGCTTCTTAGATGTTCCGTTTTCTTTAGAAAGTTTTAAAACAGGATTTGCTGAATTGTAATCGTTTTTTTTTTTCCTTTTTATCCAATAAAAGTGAACCGAACACTGCTTCTCGTCTTTTATTCTTGGTTATAGAAATGATGTCGGATAGTTTGTATTAAACGTCCCATGACCTGCTGTTAGAAGAAACTGAACGTATTGAACCTCACATTAACACGTGAAAGCTTGTTTCTGGATTTATTCCCTCACTAAATCCACGCAGATATCCATGTAGAGCTTTTATTCTGAACTGGTTTTCTAAAAGCTGCTGTTGAATCAGAGGAAGCCACACCCTGAATGTACAGATACTTTATTTTGTTTGGAGGCAACCCATGAGAACATTATTTACAATCCCAGGCTAGCAAGAAGCACAAATCAGGTGGGGGGGGGGGGGGGGGGGGGGGGTGCAGCAATCAGGTACAGCTTGGATTTATTTACCTCAGTTACACGAAACCAAGTCGTCCATTTTCATTTAAGCATCAGATCTGCTAGGAGGACAAAAGTGCGTCTTCATGTTAATTTTGGCGTAGGTGGGTGAACAGCTGATGCTGCTCTTTTCTCCTGCGAGTATAAAGATGTCTCAGGTTTGTGACGTTAGAACTTTAAATCCTGTAATCTGTGTGAAAATCACAGAATGCAACACTAAACTGAGGAGGTACAAAAGCAAAGCAAGTCCAATTAAATGAAGGTTTAGTGAAAACCAGCAAAGTTTGTCTGGCAACCAAATGTGGACAATCTTTGAATGGAAACCGTCAGATGGACGCCGACAGGACCGGCCGTGAGTCCGCCTGAAGAGCACGGCCATGCTGCTGAGGGCTGATGCGGAGACGGGCAGTGATGTGACAGAATCAGCCTTTATTACTGGAGTCTCTGAAAGTTAAAATCAAACGTCTGGTCTCTTTGATGTGTAGCTCCATGCATCCATCACTAGTTCCACTAGTCCATCCCAACTCCTCCTCACACGCTCCTTCAGTCTTCCAGACCCAATGTGTTCAGCTCCTCGTCCAGCTCCTCCAAATCTTCTCCCGTGAACAAGTTTTCATCCACCGGTACCTCTTCTTCATCATCCACTTCTCCATTTTCCTCCTCTCCCTCTGCTCCTGGAAGGCCGTTGGATTCAACGCCACCACACGCACCGTTCAGCTGCTCCTCTGCAATCGGAGAAAGGGATTTTGGTATTTCTGAAAACAACAGAGCAGGTATACCAGATGTTTTTCTCACCAGGATCCTCTTTAGCTGCGTTTGCCTGCGTTCTGGAGCTGAATCGGTCTGTAGACGCTACAGTGATGCCTGTATTGTCCACCTCTTGGGGAATAAAACGGGATAGGTCTATGTCCTGGATATTTGTAGCATCAACCTGAAAATTAAAAGGTCAAAAAGTAGATTAGTTCAATGAAAACAGAAACCACACTTCTGCTAGGCTACAGCTGACTTTAGCCGAGCAGAAGTAAGAAGGGTTTTATACTGAACAGCAAACCTGCAACGTTTACTTTTAAGAGAAAATGACCGTTTTATGAGATCAAAATGCACATTCTAATATTAAAACGATGACTCTTTACTTCAAGGCTCATAAAGTCCGAGCACGTGTCACCTCTTCTCTACGGTTTCTGTATTTTATACCAAATCGGTTATTTTACAACATTTAAAGAAAAAGCAACTCACAATGACACTTTGTATTTTCTACCGTATGCTCTTGATCACCAAAGCCTGTGGAGGGCAGGGACGTGCAGACAAACACCTCCATGTTTTTATAATTACCTCTTCCTCCTCATCATCATCGTCCTTCATTTCATAATCATAACGAGAATCATCAGCTTCATCGTCGTCATCCTCAATCAGCTCTGGGCGGAACTCGAACACTTCACGGCCGCTCACCTACAGCAGCACGTAAACAGGAGGACGTTACGTTACTGAGGCCTGCATCACCACTGCCACTAACACAAGGAACAACACACAACTCACCACTAGCGACTTTCCAGCTTTAAAATCTGCTTTCTTCTTCTCCATCTCCTCCCTCGCCTTGTCCACCTGTAATCACCAGCAGCCGGTTCGGGGTAAGATTCGTGTTTCTGCCTCTAATCATCTGAACTTCTTCCCCAGAACAGGCAAGCTGCTAAAACACATTCTGACCTTCTCCTGCCTTTTCCTCTTCTTCCAAGCAAGGAACGTCTCCAGTGTGATCCGAGTTACGTTTGCACCCAGAGCTGCACGCTGCAGACAGGGACAGGCGTCAGCACAGGACAAGGAGAAACTTCCAGGTCACAGTTAAGCTGGGCGGACACTGTGTGACTTTTTCACTCGTAGCCGTCAGCTTCCGCTCAAACTGCACGACCCAGTTCTTGGATGCGATCTGACTGCTCACACTGTACGTCTGGTAGCAACACGTCGGCCCTAAAAATATGCTAAAAATAGCAGTTTTTACGCAACACGTAATTTGCCTGTTGCCTGTTGAGGAAAACGAAATAAAGAAAGTAAATCTGTGTTTTGTGATCTGTTTAATTTGACATGAACACGACAAACACGCTTTCTTGACAATCTTTGTGAGTAAAAAAAATGTGTAGAAATTAAAACGAACAGCGTGTGTTATTAGGGAAATAGCGAGCGAGCGGCGTTGATGCAGGATGAGCGGTTCTGATACTTTTTGGGTCGCAGCTGCTCGCAGCGCCGCTTCAACAATGCAATACCCTCATGAGGGACGAGCAAAATATTAAACACGCCAGAAGTTTGTGCGAGCTCACGATTGCTGATCGGTAGCTGGTCACGTGGTGTTAATTGCCTCTCGTAACCCCCTGTACACTACACGACGCTCAGCGCAAAACTCGCCCCGATCTCGTGGATTCTCGCACGAGTGGAAAATCGGCTCAAAAAAGTGAAAAAGTCGCACAGTGTACGCCCGGCTTAAGTCTCAAGGGGAAATGTCAGATTGCTCTGATGGTCCACGTCTTTAGAGAGCACGCTGCCGCACTCCGGTTTTCTAAAGATGCTTTCAGGTAAAACTGCTGTTGGTGTGTGGAATAAACAGCCATCTGTATGACTCCTAATGTGGAATAAACAGTTTGTTCTGTTGGCTGACATGTGAAGGATGAGCAAACCAACATTTAAAAAGATTTTGCCATTGTTCCCACACCAGCTGGATGACAATATTTGGAGCAAATTCTACTTGAAGGATCAAGATGTTTTGATTTAAATGTTAGTTTATCACCTTAAACCTCGGCCATCTTTAGTGCGGTGCTTCTAGTTCTTACCTCGTTCTCTATCAGCTCCTCTAGTGAGATCCCCTCATCTTTCTCCTCCTTCTTTTTGTCCTTTTTCAGAACGAAGCCAGGCGGCAGGGCATGTCGGTACATGCATGTGTCGCCCCCCGCTGGACACACCCAGAACCAGCCATACTTATTATTCTCTATGGCTTCCAGGAAGTACTTACATACCTGCAAGCAAACAACAAGCATGCCATTTTTGTCTAAACAGCAAAGAATCCACATTTTTGGCTGAGTGGTTGTTTCTGATCAGAGTATCACAATGAAATATTTCATTTTCATATCAGGCTTTTCTTCTTTTTGTAGCTTTTCTTCCAGTTTTTCTAGCATCCTTTTAATTATTACTCTCATACTTGCTGTGTTTTAAACTGACAGGCAGAAATCACAAAAACAAACGTACAATCTGAGTTTTGGCCTTCTTCTTCTCAGCCTCTCCGTGCTTTTTGTTGACCACTTCCTCCAGCTTCTTCTCATCCCAGTTCTCCATAGTGTCTGCACAGAAGAACAGCTCGTTAAAACTGGTGGCAGACGTCCATCTACTACTCTGAGGATTTTAAAAAAAGCTCTGCTTGGTGGTTAATGAAACATGTTGCCAACCAACAAAAACAAGACCACAGACACAGGACTTCCACCTCTCAGCCACACGTTTAATAAAGACCAAAGTGAGACAGCTGCTTCTGGCACAAACTGCTGTGAACGACTCCTGGCTTCAACTAGGGCTTATCAATTAATCAAATTTTAATCACCATTAGGATTTGGGTTTTGGACAATTATAAAAACAAAATGAGACGATTATTTGCGCCTTCATGATTTACTCCGAGTTGCAAATCGAGCGGACCTCTCGACAGTAAGTACCGAGAGAACAACCTAGAAACATTTCTGGTAACTCTTAGCTACCTTCTGGATAACTGTTGTCTATATTTCCTTCAGGTTAGCAAAACACCCAGCCTGCACTTCGGACATTAGAAATGGAACGATGTAGGGATGTGTCGGTCTGAACGGCTCTCAGGCCTAGCTCCTCAGCCACAAAAAAATGGCAAAATGTGCACACACACGCACGCACACACACACACACACACACACACACACACACACACACACTGCCCCTGATTGCAGGGAGAGGGGTGGCACAAAATGCCTGGGACAGTTATTGCATTAACTGATGGGACCTGTACATATTGGTAGGTACAGATCTGTTAGAGAAGAACAAACAGCACTACAGAAAGGTGAGATGTGTGAAACCAGGACAGGCACCAAGATTTAGACACATTTTAAAGAGAGACTGCACACCATCAGAAAATGTAACTCTGCCAATAGCCAAGATTTGAAAAATGCCATGAAAGTGGGCGTTGCAAGGAGGCACAGAGTGGCATGGGCAAGTGTGGGGAATTTCCATCCTGGGAGGGAGGGGGAGTGGGAGGAGACTGTACCGATGAGTGAAACTGTTCCAGCCCCAGCCAATCACAAGTTTAAAATGCAGTAGCCACTGTTCTGCCACAGGGGGCAGCACTAAGACGTTTTTAGACCTAGATTCCAGATTTAATCAAGTTTACACAAACTTGTCAAAAATGCACAGAAACAGAAAGATTGCATTTGTTAAGACCCAATTATACAATTCATAAGCAAAAAAAATGTTATTTTGGGGTTTAGTTACTCTAACTACAGTGACAGAGTGGAATACACACAGGGAAACGTCCAGTGGGCTCTAATAGTTCAAAGTTAATATATATTATACAGGGTTTTTCCTGCTTAAATTTGCATGGCGGCCGCCTGAAAAGTCCCCACCATCCTGTTTGTTCTGCATCCTGCAGCACTGTGGATCAAAAGCGCTGCATACAGAAGCAGGAAATATGGCAAGCCATTGTAGTACATAATTAAACACTTCTATCTTTGAACATAATTTGAACTGGATTATTGCCAGCCCGTACATAATAGACATGCCACCATTACATTGTTAGCAGCAGAAATTAAATGTTATTAGCATTTCCAATACAAATGCATGTTAATGAAATGCATTATATTTTACTGGGTATATTTGTGTTACTTTGACTAAGATGAGTGTTATTAATACAAACCTAAAATGTTACTGAAATGTAGGTCAAATATATAAACATTAACTATATCAGATGGGAAAAAGGGAACTAACACTAATATAATGCATATTATTGAGCCTTTTATAATATTGAGGCAGTTGAATGCTCAGAGTACGCATGTGCTGGCGCATGGTCAGGATGGTACCACCTCTGCCTCAATTTGAGCCAGGAAAACCCCTGTTTTCATTTAAAATGAGTTTGTGTTTCTCTCTGCTTAAAATCAGTTCCTCACACAGATTAATAATTCATCTCTGAGAAACACGTTGCTACTGTACACACTCCTACAGCACCACTGGATACGACTTAATTATGCAGCAGGTTTCTATTTTATATTATAACTGTACTGTATGAAACTCTTTTGCTGCCAGTATTTCCAAGATATTTTTTATCAAACTGGGTCTTTATTCAGTACGCTCAGCCTAAACTATAGCCCTTTATACAAGACACACTGTGCTGGCAAATCCACAAAACATTACCGCAACAGTGTCTCATAAACGCGCCATGCCGGCATGGCATTGGGTAGATTGTAAGGATTTTGTTCCGCTTTGTTTGGTAGTAATATTGCTGTAATGGTCTGTCTTATAAACGGCTATTGCGCCATGACGCCATGGGGACTTAATGGCGAGCTCCGGCCGGCAAATATATGGAAAATGAAAGTAAGCACTGACAATAAGTTTTGCTTTTTGAACAAAATCAGCTGAGATGGCAAACTGGAGCACCGCAGCACTCATTGAGTGTCTCCCTTTATGCCGCCATCACCTAATCTTTTATAAAAAGGACACGATTGCGCCACATTACCGCCACGGTCCGACCACTTATAAACGACCTACGAGTCCCTGATGCCGCCATGGCGTAGCGGCAAATTGACGGCATTGTTTTGTAAAAACAGCTATGAGCAAGCGCATTGGCTCTTGTATACTAAGAATCAGCAGCCGTTTCTGTGATAATCATGTTTGCTTTTCTCATTTATCTTTTCCCTCTGATTGTGTCCTATACAAAAATGGAAATCAACATGAATTAAAAAAGGTGTATTTGTTGCGTTTGCTAATTACTGACCTTTTTCCAAGTCCTCGTCTCTTTCATCCACATAAACGCTTCTCTTCTCACATTTTCTTTCCATGGACAAGTCATGGCTGAACTTACACTTGTCACCTTTGGTACACTGGCCCTGCTTGAAGAACGCACACAGCACCGACTTTGGATCGACGCCTGCATGAGATGGAGAAGAGGCTCAATAACATTTACCCTGATCACCGCTCAAACCCAGCAAACACATAATTATTTATTTAAATGATAAACAGCTATAATGAGAGCTCAGCTGTGTTCGTCACCTTTGCTGACTTTCTGGGCCGCCACTACAGGTTTAAACAGCTCGTTGAGTTCGTCCAGCTCTTTCTTCTTATCGGCCTTCTTACTCGTCTTGTCTGCATCGGCCTGAACACAAAACAGGAGATTACTGAATGGATTCTCAGAGATTTACCAGCAAATAGGAACAAAAATAAGCAGACAAACATCTTGCCTGCCGAAACTGACAACTTCAAATAAATGAACTGTGACAGAAAAAGACCCTTCAGACAAGAACGCACTAACCTGTCTGGCACTTTGCTGTCCATACTTGACTTGCTGAGTAACGTTCTTAATGAACTTCTGCTGCTTGGCCCCTTTCTTGTTCTTCAAACCAAAAGTCTTGTCCTGAAGAAGAAAAATTACATAGCAAAACAAGTACTAAAAAGGTTAAAACCATTATTTTTAAGTGAATTTCACCACAGATACAGCACAATGAGCTGATTATGTGTCTCACACACACAACAAATCTGACATGAAGTAGTCTGTTCTGATGGGTTTATGATTGTGGGTTGGTTTCACTACACAGCATGTAGCCCTTTCAGTAATGGCTGCAGGTTTTCACACATCATCTTGGAGTCAAGTTACAGGTCCTTCTAAAAAAATACCCACTTTTACTTCCCAGATGGGAATTTTGGGTTTTCATGAGCTGTATGCCAAAATCATCAATATTAGAAACAATAAAAGGCTTGAACTACTTCAGTTGTGTGTAATGAATCTAATATATATGAAAGTCTAATGTTTATCAGTCCATTACAGAAAACAATCAACTTTATCACAATATGCAAATTTTTTTAGAAGGACCTGTACATTTGTTTGCAGGACATAACTAAACCAACTAAAACCATTTCTAAATTCAACGGTTCAAATCATTTGGTAAAAAATTTAAAGAAATTTAAAATCCACCTCAAAGCATCCGTAATCTTTAGTTTTAAGATAAATGTCACTTGCCCAAATTGTATTTAAAGCAAGTTACTGGATTTAAAGAAGTTGTAGTTGCTGTATAATTTTTTTTTTTTTTTGATTGAGTCAGAAAAAGGTAGAATGCCTTCTCCAGGTCAGGAACGAGGTCCTGCCTCAAGTCGAGGAGTTTAAGCATCTCAGCATCTTTTTCACGAGTGAGGGAAAGATGGATCGGGACACTGATAGGCGGATTGGTGCTGCGTCTGCAGTGATGCGATCTGCCGTGGTGAAGAGAGAGCTGAGCTGGAAGGCAAAGCTCTCGATTTACCGGTCAATCTACGTTCCAACCCTCACCTATGGTCACAAGCTTTGAACAAGATCATGGATGCAAGCGGCTGAAATGAGTTTTCTGCAGGGTGGCTGGGCTTTCCCTTAGAGACAGGGTGAGAAGTTTGGTCATTCGGGAGGGGCTCGGAGTAGATCCACTGCTCCTTCATAACAAAAGGAGCCAGTTGAGGTGGCTTGGGCATCTGGTCAGGATGTCTCCTAGTCAGACGCCTCCCTGGTGAGGTTTTACTGGGAGAAGACCTAAAGAGAGACCCAGGACACGCTGGAGGGACCATGTCTCCCTGCTGGCCAGGGAAGGCCTTGGGGTTCCCCCGGAAGAGCTGGCCCAAGTGGCTGGAGAGGAGGAAGTCTGAGCCTCTCTGTTTAGCTGCCCCAGCAACCAGACCCCAGATAAGCAGCTGAAAATGGATGTATAGTTTTTGACAAAGTAACATGTTGGAACAATTACCAGTTCACATGGTGTCACACCAACATCTTATGAGATATTTGTTGTGATCTGAACTCATTTTCCTAGAGTTTAGTGTATTTCTCAAATGCAAAATAGTTTTCTCCTAAGATGACAACTGAAAGACTTCACTTCCCAGCATTAAAAGCACAGAGAAACAAGGTCAGATATAAAAACTTCCCTACTACATTTATCCAAACGTATTGGAGTGATGCTTACATGAGTTAAAGAAAAACTGACCATCTTTCCCAACTTGTTGAAAATAAATGTTGAATTATCTCATGTGAATAAATCAGAATTAGGATAGACTGTGTTGACTTGTCTCTTAATGAATAACATGAGAAACATTACAACTATTAATCTGAACGTCAACACGTCAGTGACGCAAGTGGTGCTCGCTGCAGAACCACAAAGGCGGAGCTGCACCAGAAGGTGGAGCTGCACCAGAGTCAGCCCCGCCCATTCCAGAATCAGCCCCGCCCATTCTATCGGAGTCAGTCCAATTCCTTTCAGTTGTCAGACTTTATAGCATTCTGGAACCAAAGAGGGTGTTATAGCTAAAAAAATGCAAGATTGAGGAGGGAGTTGAGAAGTTAATTGAACAGTTTTTGTAAAGGTTCCATATAATTAAAAATCTAACTTTTGGAACTTTTAATCATGTTATATTGTCATTTCCTCATAAGAAACACGCCAAAGCCATTTTTGGCCTCATTCATGCATTTTCTTCCCATCTCAGCTTCAATTTGGTCTCCTCCCCCAAAGCGGGTCTGGTCTTGGTTCTCAAATCTGGATATTCTGTGAATTTTCTGACAAATTATTTCTGAAATGACTTCTACTGAGACACCGCCAGAAAAATCATACATCCCATCTACAAAGACACACCAAATAACATAATAAAAAGTAACGCCACCTGATTTTTATCAGATGTGGTTGTGTAGTGGTGATGGTGTCAGGTTGGCTTGCAGTTTTGTGCAGGTTCGCCTCCCAGCAGTGGAAATATTCTATAATCTCTTTTCCTCATTTCTAGCTACACTTGCCAGTACTATGTTTACAACAATTTATTGGTATGCCGTTTAACATATAACGACTAATGTGTTTTTTTTATTTATTCATTCGTTTATTTAGCCAGTGTGAGTCCATCTGTGAGCAGAGTTTCAACTAAAATGCTGTTTAGGAACGACCAAATTCAAAGAACTTGTAGAGACATAAATATTTTGCTGAAAATGAACATTACAACTAAAATATGAACAAATTAAATGTTTCAGCTGGCTGAATAGATTGTTGCCGACCCCACCGAGAATCGAACCAGCATCAGCTTAGGGGAAAGCAAAACGTAAGTCAGACGATCTTGCCACTGGACTACCAGAACCCACAGGGAGGGGGTACATGCTGTTGTACAGGACTTTTATTAGAGCGGCTGTGGGCAGATATTCGCATCGAGAAACCTTTTTATTTCGGGATATATTCAGACTTTGTCATGTAGCAAGTTATATTTATCTTGTTTAATTGGAGCAAAGAACATAGCATTAACGACTGTAAACTAGTAGCCGTAATTCATGTGGGTCAGGTCAGTTTGCGATAAAGTTGAAAACAAAAACGGAAGTCAGTGGGCTAGGCTGAGTTTGCGTGAATGGGCGGGGTTGACTCTGGTGCAACTCCACCTTATGGTGCAGCTCCGCCTTTGTAGTTCTGCAGCGAGCACCCTCTCCAGTGACGTGGTCTCCTGTCTGTGCTCATTACTCCAGCCAGCTTCTCCAGCTTATCTGACTGCGGCCTGAACTCAGAAATCACTTAAATAAGCAGCCTGGTCACGTTAACAAAGCAGTTATAACGGCTACCTAACTTTATTCTTACCTGTTCTGGTCAACACCTGACCAGATAAGGCCCATTAAGCGTCCACCTGAGCCATTTAATGCATAAAGATGATTTTCAGGTCATAAAATAATTACTAGAACATGACTGAAAGATAAAAAGCTACGCCGGACAACTTGTAGGCCCTGCTATTAGCATCTATGCTACACGAATCTGTCAGCTTCATAAGTTTTAGCTAATAACAGCAGAGAACGCCACAGTTAGAAGTTGCATAATCATAGTTTACACACAACCATAACCAAAGGTCTGGAGGACTTTACGCGTTTGGTGGCTTCAGTTTGGCGCTGAGCTGAAACCAAACGCCGACATGCTAACTCGTGTATTTTTTTTACCTCAATGATCTTTTCCTTTTTCTTCTCCTGAGTTTTTTTATTCCCCGCGGGCTGGGGCGGTTTCTTCGGCGGCATGTTGGCTCAGGAGCAGCGGTGGGAAGTAAAAGTGGGTAAAACTACTAGAAAAGAGGTCTTTTGGATGTGAAAGCAGCCCCTCATGAAGCAGATGTTACTAGCACTCGGCAGCAACAGCGGCGCCGTTTAGGCCACACGTGAGCTGTTGATGTCCTGTTGCGTCATGGCGCACCCGAAGAGCAGGATGGGAGATGTAGTTTGCGTATGTTAAACTCAGAAAGACGGTTTATAATATGAAACGACACTACAAATCATCTAAGTGTGTTCTCGGGTTGCAGAGGCAGCAGCAGGGAAGCCCAGACCCTCCTCTCCTCCTCAGCCACTTCCACAAGCTGCCCCAGAGTGGCCCAGACTAGATCCAGAATCCCCTTATGGGTTGACCTGGGAGCAGGACCTGCGTTTGGCCTGGCTACTTGGGCTCAAGCCCTGAATGTTTTATGAAAAGACTAGTGCGTGTTACGTGTGTGTGTGTGCGCGCGCGCGTGCGTTAAGTCCCGGATCTTCTTCAGTCCTAAATTCACCCCTGCCTGGGGGCCTCCTCCCGCCAGCAGGACACACCCAAAATACTTCTCCCGTGGCCTGACCAAATGCCCGAATCATCTCAGCTGGCTCCTGTTGATGTAGAGACGCAGGCGTTCCACTTGGATTCCCTCCCAGGTGCCCCACTCTACAACCTCAGGCTGAGTCTAGCCAGTACAAATAGGTGGGCCCCATTTGGGACATATGTGAGCGAGCTGTATGGGTCCCACCATGGTTTGTCCGCGGTTTCCATGGTGGCCCCACAGGGGTTTGCCCAGAAAGATCTTTACCCACGTAGATTTTAACGGGCCCTACATGGGTTTTCAGAGGGTTTCGAATCTTTGTGGGTAAACCCCTGTGGGGCCACTGTGGATACTGCGGGCAAACCCTGGTGGGACCCATACAGCTTGCTCACATATATTCCATATAAGGCCCACCTGTGTGTTGGCTGGGGAAACTTGGCTGCTTGTTTTCACAATCTTCTTTCTCCCTTACCACCACAACAGACATGTTTATCCAATGCTGATGGATCCGCCTCTCAATCACCCGTTACTTCCCTCATGAACAATAACCCCAGATTTTAACTTTGCACTTGAATCAGGCCTTCTCCCTTGACCTGGAGTTTTCTGGTCTTGGATTTGGAGGTGCTGATCCTTATTCCACTTCACACAGGGCCACATCATCCACGGGGTGACTGGGCTCAGAGGTTTAGGAGTTTACCCTGTAACTGGTAGGTTGCTGGTTTTAACCCAGACTCCATTTGTGTCAGTCAGAGCAAGACAAGTCACCTTCTTGCCTGCTGGTGGTGGTGGGACGGATGGACAGCAATGATAATGCTGCAGTCTGTCAGTGCGCCCCAAGACACCTGTGTGAATGTGTCTATGATGCACTGTATTGTAAAGTGCTTTGGAGTCCTCTAAGATGAGACCTTCCTGCCACCAAACACTAAACCTCCCACCTCATGGCTGCAATTGTAAATCTTGTCTTGTAAAGTCTGTAAATCCTAACCCATGATAGTTGGTCCATGGTGGTGTAATTAACATGCACACCTCCTCACAATGCCTTTCTGTTCCAGATACAGTCATGGAGCCCCGGGGATTCATTACAGACCTTAAAACTCAGACTCATCCCTGTACGATGTCGTTTCCCTGTTTAAACCACTGGCATATGCTTCATACCTTCATCCTCAAACATTCACAGGAGGCTACTGGATGTGTTCACATGACTTGTTCCTTTGGATTGTGCCAATGGCATGTACTGAGTTTGAAAAAACATTTAAATGTTCCGCCTTTTTTCCTGAAATCAGCTCCAAAACCGGCTGAATTGAAAGGAACTCGTCTCACTCAGACGCAGTTTAGATACACAAACATCTAGATTTAAGAGTGTTGATTTATGAATTTTGTCACTGGCTCCTTCGTACAAAAAATATTCAGCATATCACTTGATTCCCTTTTAGTTTTTCTTTGACGTTTAAACAATTTTCTGTATGTGTGTTGCCTTGTTGTGCTGATGAAGCTGCTGTCTGTCAGGGCCAGCTCGTTCTGCATCTCTAAACTTTCTTGTTGTTCTTCTCCTTGATGAGATGGTCATTCGGATCCTTACATCTACTACTAGTGTGCTCTCCTGTAGTTTTCCGATCACCACGTTTGGTTGGTTAGCTATCACCTGCTTATGAGTCTGGATCTGGAAGTCCCCTCAGTACCATCACTCCGAGACTGTGCTGAGGTTCTGGTCCGTCCGTCCAGGTGATTAAGGTGATTAGTTATGGCATTCTGCTTTGCCAGCCTCCATCTTTTATTACCCTGTTATGTTACACCGTTGCTTGGGTCCTGTCTGATGTGGTAGACCTCTGGTCATCTGCTTCCATGATTAGCACCTCTGCCCTGTTATTCATGCTCTCATTACATCCAGATTGGACTATGTAAACTTGCTTGTCTTTGATGTAAACACGTCCTCTCCTGAAACTCACATATTACCCCTATTTGAGCTGATTTACTCTGGCTTCCTGTCCTTTATTGGATTAGGTTTAGATTCTCCTCTTTTGTTTTAAAGCTATTCATGACTTGGCTCCCTCATGTCTGTCTGAGCTGATCACCCCCTACACCTACACCCCCTTCCATGGGCAGAACACCTCCTCCTACAAATACCTGGAGCGACCTACAAGGCTTGCAGTGAACCCGTTGTTCGTTTTGATGTCTTTAAGTTGTGGAACAAACTACCACCGGAGGCGAGACAGTCCCCTTCCATGACCGTCTGAAGACTCTCCTCTTTAACTTCACTTTTGGACATTGATGTGTTGAAACTTTTGTGCTTCGGTCTTAGGTTTTAGTGACATACCTGCTGTGTTTTTATGTGCTTTTATATTTAGTTAACATGTAGTTTAATGTGTCATTAATGCCTTTGTTCTGCACTTTGGTCAGTTGTCATGCTGTTCCTCGTAAAGTGCTTAATAAATAAACCCGACTTGCCAATTTCTCAATGTTCAAGACATGGTTTATCTAGCCAATAACATAGTTTATTTATTATTTATTTTGGAATAACAACAAAAAGGAGTGTGTCTGTTTCTGTAACGTTTCTGAAGTGGGAGCCAATGCAGATTTAGAGTTTGGCCTTTAGATGTCAGCGTTGCTGCAGCTTCCTCTTTGGTCAAGCAACAGCAAAACGTTCAGATGATGACTAATATGTGCAATAATATTATTAGGTATTATTCAAACACAGGATGTATATCAGAATAAAAACACCAACTATATACTGGATTATTTTTATTACTCTATGTCATCATGGTTGGCCTCTTTAGACTGTGGTGATGCTGCTAGTCAGTTTAAAAGACTCCTACTGATCCAGGAGGGAACCCCCTCCCTCGGTCATTTCTGTATAGTGTCTGCAGCTTCAGTGCTGTAAAAGAAAAAGAAAATCTTAAATAATAATAAGAGAAGCTACAGCACAGCTGCAGTCACATGTGTTTCAACTCCTCCGAAGTAGAAAGCCCCTTTCTGTGATCAGAAGTGTGTCATGGCTGCAGGGCAGAGAGCCAACCAGCAGGAGTTTTACCGCTTCAGCTGCTGATTCAGCTCCATTTAATTAGATTTCACTTAAGTTTCTAATGTAATTTCATCTGGCACATTTGAAATATGTGGCCTTCTTAAACATGCTGCAGCAGTTCAGTGGTCAGCTCATTCTTCAGCGTGTGTGTGTGTGAGTGTGTGTTGCCCAGCAAACCACGACACAGCTGTGACTCAAAGTGGGTCGCACACGCCTGCTCCTTTCGGGCTCCCGTTTGCTTTTGTGTGCTTTAATGAGCGTTGATTTTTTTGAGGGTCAGGGACAACATTTATTCAGTTTGGGTGCACACATAATGGCAGTGCTGGAAGTGTGCTGTAATGAGTCCCAGAGTGAGACAGAATTTACTCAAGTAATATCATCCCTGGTTGCAAAAGTGCTACAGCGACGTGCGTGCACCGTCTCTGCTGCCATCTTGCAAGCTCTGATGCGACTTTGTTTCATTTCATCTGCCGCGGAGGTATTTATTCATAACGCGTTTATCATGCATGGCACCTTTTCGGCGTGCAGCCTGAGAATGGGTGAGTGTGTGTATTGTAACCTATATTGACAACGTGTCTACTTACTGCATGACTGAGGGCTTGAAAGAAGAAAGGTGTGCAATATTGCCACAAGCAATCTTTGCCTTTGCTTCTGTCTCGCTCTTTTCTTGTTAAGATATTTTGAGTGTGAAAGCTGTCTAATAAATCACTACATCTGCTGCAAGAACACTTTCCACAGTGCCTCTCTTCATATGCATCCAGACATTGATCTTTTCCACAGAGGGCATGCGTGTCATGTGCACACATGGATAAAGGTGCTTCAATCCGATGCTGCAGCAGACGTAGGAAAACATCTTCTGCCTAATTAGCAAAGCACAACAGTAGACACTCTTCCCTGCTGAGGGAACTTGACACCTTACAACCTGTCCAGGTTCATTTATTTCAGGTAATAATCAGAAATGTCTTGGTATGAAGTCTGGTTCAGCCTCACATTTTTCCAAGGACAAATAGCAGCACCTGGACTGCTCTCCCGACCGCCGGGCAGGTCATTGGCTGTCAGCTGTTCCCCGTTAAGAAGGTGCTCCACACCACGGAGGAAGAAAAGGGCAGGGAAGATTTACCTCCTGCCAGGTATGCCCAGGCTGTGAAGCAAAAATAAATAAATAAAACTTCACTTAGATGAAAAGAAAGTGACCTGCAGCTCAGGACCCGGACCACCCATTGCCTCACAGTTTCTTCAGACCGCTGAGATCTCATCAACTCCTCTTTTCAGAGCTGCATTCATTTGAGCTAAAGTCCCGTTTCTCTCTCTGTGTTATGGTTCACATTCTGATAATACACCGTTTTGTCTCCGTTTACTTTCAATACGGATATCTGACATTTCTCTGATTCCCAGGAGATCAGGTGTGAGCTTGTTCCATTTAGCTTTGTGTTTTATATTTAGGTAATGAGCAGGAACGGCAGCGAAAGAATAAACTTCTCTCTCTTTTTTCATCCAGGAAATGGAAGAATCATATCCTTTTACTGATAACAAAACTCGGCTGCTGGATGCATTGTACTCTGGTCCCTTGAGGCTA